GATAGATAGATAGATAGATAGATAGATAGATAGATAGATAGATAGATAGATAGATAGATAGATAGATAGATGGATAGATGGATAGAGTGTATCGTGTCAATACATATATTAGATCATATGATATATTATCTTTCCATTTTCTTTTTGTCTAATTGTGTGTTGAAATTATTTATTTTGTTTAAATCTTGGCTAAATACAAATGTCCATTCAACATATAAGGTCAAGTTTAGACAACTATAAAACTCACTTTTAGACCAAATTTGACCTAATCTCAGCCTAGACATCTATAAACTGTTTAGAACTAGTTCAAATGCATCTTCAGATGTGCTCACTGGGAAAATGTATTCACTCAGATCTTGTCTTTGAAAGTCTAAAATAACAGACAGTGTCACATAATGTTGCCTTTTACTGCTCAGGATCACACCCATTTTGTCTGTGCTTAGTAGTTTTTTCTTATTCAAGCTGTTTCAGGTAGGATGTGATCAAAGCAAAAAAACGAAGTTTTCAGTTTTTCCAAATGTCTGCTCTAAAGCAGGCCCAGTCAGCAGAAGTAGCTTTTTAAATGGATGGACTCTGACTGAAACTATTGATCCTGTACTATTTTGGTTTCTGTTTATACTGCTGGACGTAGAAACCAGAAGAATAAAAGTAAAAGGTATGTATCGTAAGTGAAAGCCAAATGAGAGGTTACTGTACATCTTTACTTTCTAAGTTCATCCTTTGAGGTTAGTGGTTATGGGAACTGGGTGACCCAGTTTGAACTCAAAACTTGTACGTATTTTTTCCAGCCTTGTTTTTTAAAAAAAGCAAGCTGTTAAAATCATTTAATATTTGAACAAATCTTTCACTTGAACACAATCACACATACACATCCTCACCTTGTTTCTGTGGGTGTTAGTCATCTGACAGTTACCCAGAGGGACTTTTGTCTCCATCTGTGTCAATCTGACCCATTTTAGCCCTTGGCCACATCCAACTGCTCCATGTCCCAAACATATGTTGGGTGGCAGGGGGATAGGCGAACGATCGCCCTGCTGGACCAGCAGACACACTCAGCTGATACGATGCTGGACCCTCCTTTCCTACATGTGTGCTATTCACGATATATACTATCATCCTCTGAATAAAGTTCATCAATAAGCAGTTATCTCCTGAAATTAAGCTGTAAAATGTCTTTATTTAAAGTGCTTTACTTGGTCTTTTTCATTTCATTACAGCTCACAAACAGCATGTGTGAATACGGCTGATTTTCATGTCTGCAGCTCATTAATTGCCTAAACTCTTCTCCTAAATATGTGCCTATACTTCCTCCGTTCCTGCTCGCCAACACAGCGTGGGTACTTGACTTGGTGCACAGACTGCCTCAGCATCTTTTCATATCATAAGACTAGCCATGAGGGCAGAATTAGCCTGTCAGAAGAGAAATGAGGGTATTTTCCATGAGGTTCATATTGGCAGATGAGACGGTTTCATTGCACAGAGCCGGGACCCACTGGAGACTCAGGGGTGTGAGGCACATATGGGCAAACAGTCTGCTGATGAGCTGCTTACATGAGCCTCTCATCATGGCCTTGGAGAGTTGTCTCCACCAGAGGATTTGATGGGGCTGTCTCTGCTGGCACCAAACCTTCTACTAATGTTGCTTACTGTGCAGATATGTCGATTTTTTTTTTTTCCCCTTACGTTTTTGTGGACAGTGTTTGAAATGAATCTTTGCAACTTATTGTAATTATGGCACTTTTTGAATAACTGAAGGAGACAATGTGCTCAAATGGATCAAATATTTGGACAGTACTGTCTTAAAGCAACCCAACAAAGTAAAAATACAGGGACTCCAACTTCCTGAATCATTGTCTGTGATAAGAATGTTCCGTTTTTTATGGCTTTCCACTATTGCCATATTGATTGATTCATTTTCCTTTTAACAACAACATATAAAATGAAAGACCTAGCGTTCCTTGAAGGAATGCATATCGCCCGCTGTCTTTCATCTAGTGTCTCAAACATCTTATGTTAAGAAATGATGAAGTTCTAGCCATTTTTGTCAAAGCTTAAAAATAACATTAATACAATACAATACAACTTTATTATAAAACTTTAAAAACAACACAGTTTGCCAAAGTGCTGTACACTAACACATACAAGAAAACATAAAAAAAAACTTTAAAATCAACTGAAACCGTAAAAGAATAAAATCATTAAGCATAATCTCATGCAACATCACAAAAGTCTGTGTTGGGAATGACTCTCAGCTACTACCCCATATAATTTTACCTTAATATCTGTTAAATGGACTCGGGTGTAGTCACTTAATAATAATAATGTGTTATGTATTCTCATCATTGTATGTTCCCATACAATGGAGAAATTGGCTCTCTGCATTTAACCCATCCACCACCCGGTGGAGCTGTGAAAAGTGCCCGGGGAGCAACTGGGGATAACGTGTCCTGCTCAGAGACACCATGAGGTGTGCAATGGCCGGGGATCGAGCCCGGGGGCTTCGGATCCCGGGTCGGCTGCCCTGCCCCTATGCCATCTTGGCCCCCCATTTTTTATGCTGATTAAAGTTAATTATCTGTGGCAACCATCTTGAATTAGTTTGACACCAAAAATAATCTGTTGTTGAAGTATATTTAATAATTACTTTCTATGAGTTTCAATAAAGCTTGTCCAGTAGTTCATGAGATAATTTGCTAACAGACATAAACACAAAGAGACACTCAACTTTTGGAGCTGATAAAAAGACATTTTAGTTTGGTGGACCCTCATAACGATCTTTCGCTCTCCTGTCGACGTCATCTCAGGAACACTGTTGTCGTTGCAACAATACTCCCCTTTTATCTTCTTTCCAGTCATTTGTGCAAAAATGATGTTTTCATGAAAGCGTTGTGAATCTGTAAAGCACCATAAACATTCAATCGTATTGTAACTCGTGTTCTCAGAGGGCACAATATTTCTGGACCACTTGGTTTTGTTTTCAGGATTTTAAAAATGTTACTTCACATATATTTTCAGATTCAGAGCAAGAAAAAACTTTTTTCATACATTCTCTCTGCGCAATTTTTTTGTTTGGTTTTAAAATTTTATTTTTTAACTTGGCAGCCATCTGTCTTGATCCATCTCCTACAAACACACAACACAGTCAGCACACACACACTTGCACACCCTCACTAACCCATAGCCTGCACACACACACACACACACTGAGGCTGCCAGGCTGCTTGGGTGGTGTGTTGTTCACTGGGAGACGGTGCCATATGCTGTCTAGCATCCCAGGGAGGGCAGAGCCTGCTGCTGTACTGTTGTCCTAACTCTCAGGGAAACCCATTAAAACAAACTCGTCTACTGTTAGTCCCGACACTGAACTCACTGTATTTATGAAGCGTTTTACGTAACTCTCTACATCAAGGCTGCCTTTTGTGCCGAGAACACTCAAAAGATCAAAATGAAAACTGTCATTAGTGTTTGCGGCACATGCAGCCATGTCTTTTTTGCCATATAACAATGTGGAAAATGCCCTTTTGTTTCAGTCTTTAGTCTTTAAGTCACAAGTCATGATCTATACCCATGGTGCTTTTATTTTCAGTATCGCATTTCAACATCTTGTTTGGCTACGCTGTAAAACATTTGGCTCAACTTCAGCTGTTTTTTAAAAGTAAGTTTCACGTTAACATGAATTGACTTTGCTGATAAACATGGTGCTATCACACCTAACGTCAAGCAAGGTGGGCAATCATGTAATTTGTGTTTGTCCTTTAGCAAAATATTTCATCAGTCACAGGGTCGATTATAATAAAACACGTTGAAACTATGGTAATCATTATATGGATGTCTAAAAATGATTTTCTTTCAGAGTCAGTCTGAATCAAGATGGCCGGCACAACCAGTCAACAATAGCAGACACAAAAATGGCTGTAACTCTGTAACCATTTTTACAGCTACTGAGCTCAAATTTGGTGTGGAGCTGAGCTCCAAATACCAACGGATCTTGCAGATCTTGTTTAAAATCTTGCCATGGATGGTATTAGATGATATGCATTAACTCAAAGAATGCTACTTTCATTAGGCATGGACTGAGAACAGAACCACAGACTTCTCAAAAACATATTAGATGCATGTTTTGGACGTTACG